GCATGATACTAACAAGATTAATAACAAACCCTAGCATGTCACTAAGAAATAAAGATCAATTAGCCCTAACAAGACACTAACATGATATTAGGAAAGAAATAGGAAGCATCATAATAATATACAGAATTATTAGTTAACCCTAAACATGATACTAGAAAGCAAATATAACATCCTAACATGATACTAGGAATCAACAAAATAATATAAGCATGATTTTTATATCAAAAAATCAATAAAACAATTAAAGTACTTACATCGATGCCTCGTACCTCTTTTAAATAACATAATACACACGTTAATAACTACAAGTAAAATAATAAATAGTAAATCTAATCAAGAATTGAAATAAGGTTTGGGACCAAACCCTCATAAATTATCAAACCTTTCACGTCTAGGGCGAAGGCAACTTTGAACTTGGCTAGGTGTCTCTAGAACTAATGAATGTGGAATTTTTTGAGTGGGAAGGTTTAGAAAAAGAATAGAGAAAGAGAAAGCTTCTAGCTTTTGAGAGAGAATAGAGAGAGATGATGGTTGTGAATGATTAAAAACAAGGAGATACAACCCCTATTTATAGAAAAAATAGCATGGGATCAAAGCAAGTCATATTCGGAATAAAATATCTCCTGTCGCCAACGATAGGAGTCAGCGCCAGGCGACAGCTGTTAGCGCTAGGCGACATCTCTGTTGTCTCGCGCTGAATCAAAAGTACAACGCGCTTTTGTACGCGGAATCATCTTCTTAAACCGATCAAGCAGGTAATTCCGCGTTAAGCAAATTAAAAACATATTTGTGACGAATCATATATTTTATTCAAAATAAAACATCTTTAAAAATTTAATTATCAATCCTAATCTCATTAGAAGTAAAAAGAACCTTCTAGATATCCTAGAAAATTAAATTCAATCCTAATTACTTTAGGATTAATAATTAATAGGCTCTCCTCTAGAACATTGGGCCAAATTTAATTTAATCCATAGCTTCCTCATTATTCATCGGAATTGGGATTATAATATATCGTTGGAAAGCTCTTTTCGAGCCCAATCCAACAACACTATTATTGGACCCTTATTATGGACCAAACCAAATTTGACTGGCTATTTTCATAAATAGAGTAAAGAAATATTTTTTGAAAACAGAAAGAGAAATATTTTAATAAAAACATACTCATCACTAGACTTTTCACACTTTCACTTCGTCCGATAATCAAATGACATGAAAGGTATTCATCACTGGGTTTGGTTACACATTTGGATGTCTACAATAGGGATCATTGGTAAATATGCCTCTGATTATGTCACTCTAACCTAATCTTGATAGGTTGCGCCGCATTGTGGCTTTCTCGGGATTTGGGCCCCGAAGGCCGTCTTTTCTCCCGAACTCTGGGAGCGCCACGTGACATCTATGACACGTGTCACTCTACCACAGGTTGAATGAATTTAACAGTGAATTTTAACCATTCACATTCTAGGGAAATTACGGGAATGTCCCTAAATTTACCCCTTTATAAATACATCTTTTACCCCTCTCATTTTGGACGTTTCCAAAAAAAATCTAGAGAGAGAGAAAGTCTGAGACCCGCCTGTGTTATGCACAAACAGTCCCCTTTTTTTCTTGCCCGTCTGCCCAGCCGGTTAACATCCGCTTGTGTTGTATACAAGCAGAACACTTTCAGCCCGCTTGCTGTAGCCGGTCAACGCTTGACCCCTTTTAGAGTCTAATCACAAGGTACCATCTCTACCCCTTTCAGCTCATTTTTTCTTATTATGTTTGTGCATTTACATTCAATAATTAGACTCATCACCAACACACATAGAACATCCTAGGTCAGTAGTTAACTGGTCTCTTGGTACAGCTAAGTCTAGGAATGGAGGTGCCGGCTCTAGGTGTATGGAGAAGCCTTGTACATCCCCAAAATCGACCGTCTCTGTGTCTGTGCAGGACACAATGGCTCGAAAAAAACAAATGACACCAAACGACAAAGAAGAGACGATACATTGGAGGTACCGTCTGATGAAGTCAGGCCAGTTAAGGGGAAGACATGTAAGTTGATTCAGGAGAATACTCCCCTTTTGGGATCCCAAAGACACTAAGTGATAGGATCTTATATGAGTATGAGGGTAGAGACAGTAAGGAGGTCATCTCCAATGTTGGATTTAAAGAAATTGATCCTAAAGATGGAGACAGGGAGGAAGCCGCGTCTTCCTTGGGGTTATACGGTGAAGAGTTCTCCCAATAGAGAAATGGGGGAAGCACCGCCTCTGTGTCTAGCTCTGAGGATAGTAGTGATGCCCCCATTTCCCCACTTAAGGATAACAAGGTTGAAGAGAGGAAAAAAATGGAATGAGGGTGGAGATCCATTCAGAATCCATGTCTCTACTAGAGATAGGGAAAGTATGTCGAAGGGTCTTGAAGCCTTTACCCTTAAACGGCCCCTTGGAGGGGTATATAAGATTCGGGTGCCGCCTGAGTTGGGCACCATTGCATGGAAAGAGATGGCTAGCTTAACTGCAATGAGTATTTAGGCTGCTATGAGGCGGCGTTTTTGGCTGATCTCCGTTTCCCCCTGCATGATGTAGTTAAAGCTATCTTGCAGAGGGTATGACCTTGGTGTCTGGCAGTTGTCCCCAAATTCTTGGGTCAACATTTTAGGGTACATCGCCGCATGTGATATGTAGGGGCAGCACCACGGCTGGGAAGCATTTGCCCACATGCACTATCTCAGTGGTAACCTAGGTGGTTGTAGAGCGAGGTACACCTTGACCACCTACCTTAAGTATCACATGACCTTAGACAAACCGTCTAAGTGGGACAACTGGAAGAACCGGTTTTATTTGGTTTCTGGCCCCACACGGTGTGAGAACCATGAGTTCCGCCAATATAATAAAAAGTCTGGCCTTCTAGGTCAAAAATGTAAGTTTCTCGCTATCCCGGATGAAGACTATGAAAAGATCATAACGGCGGGGTTTTTTTAGTTCAAAATGGACACCTTCTCAACTGGGGAATTAATAAGTGTTCCAAAAAACTAAATTCTGAAGCATGAGTGTTTCAGAGACGAGGCGTTCTTATAGGTTTGTGGCCTTAGCACAATGTTTGACAAGTGTAGGTTTACCATGCATTCGGCAATTAGTCGTCTATATTGGAAATTCCATTATTTTGCACAACTCTTGAACTGACCGTCTTCCCTTTGTTTTGCAGCCAATGCTTTGAGGATGCTTTCTGAAGACAAGACACCCAAGAAGCTTGTCCCTCAAATCCGCAAGGATAATACGAAAGACAAACGGGCCCAAATTTAGGCAAAGGTAAGAACAATTCAAACATTATAATTGTTAATAATGCAAACAGTTTCTTCCGGCTATGGGTCTAATGAGCAATTTCATTTGCAGGGTGGAGATGCTCTTAGGTCCTTCCAAAAACGGATCAAACAGACCAAGGACAACGACATCTCCAGCCCTAACAAGTCTCAAAAGGCATCATCCATGCAGACGGCTCTAGATGCTTCATCCGGAAAATGTCGTCTAAACATCAGGGGGAAAAGCATCAGCCTTAAAGGCTTCGGCCTAGGCATTGATATGGGGATTAAGGCGGGTGCCCATTTGATACCGGAGGGTGGTGATAATCCACCCAAGACTACATCCAATTTTGCAGCCACTATAGGCGTTGATAGTCTACAGGTCCTTGAATGTATGGATAACACTTTCGAAACTCCGCCTAAGCTTGGTTCGCCCCTGCGAGTGAAATCATACTCTCAGCAGACGTCTGACGGATCGTCGAGTAGCCGGCTCCAGATAGGTGCCATCTATACAGTTCACTCACCCAATCTTAATTATAGTGCAGATCGCTCCCCCTTGCCCGGACATTCAGCAGCATGCCAAGTCCATGCTTGGGGCCATCTCTAAGAGGGAAAAGGATGCCATCCCTGGCATTGAGATGTTCAACCTGGAACGCATCATGGACCACCTGTCTGAGGTATAACATAGTTCCTTAGATTCCAAGTGTTTCCCTGCTTGTGTCCCTAACACCATTTGCACATTTTAGGCTATGCTGAGGGTTGATGGGCTCAAGAGGCCATACACCCGAAAGAGAGAAGAGGTAAAACAGGCCAATACAACGACTTTTGCAAATGTTGCCCAATATCAAAATACTATGAATGAACTTGAAACTAAAACCTTCGAAATGATGCAAGTGGAAAACATCACTCGTCTAACGGCTGAGTTGGAGACTGCCAAGAAGAAGGTTAGCGACTTCGAGGCTGCCTTAAAAAATGCTCAGTCGGACCTTTGGAGGGTGCTGATAGCGAGAATACTAGACTGAGAGCAGACGTCGCCCGCCTGAAAAACGAGTTGGCAAAAGCTCAGGCTAACATCAAGGTCACCCTAACGGTAGAACAAAACCGTCTCATCGAGGAGAATGAGACCGATTGCAAGAATCGCATAAATAGCTTGGGAGACGTTACATCCGGGGAAGGAGTACAACATCTGGACTTTGGCTTACCAATATGCTGATGAAGTTCAATTAGCACGAGATGAAAAGAAGCCGGAGCCAGAGCCGTCTAACGTCTGGGCCAACAAAGAGGTTGATGAAGGGGAACCAGCTCAGAGGGCTGTCGGCGGAGAAGAGGAGCAAGGGCCATAGGAAAATCACAAGACTCCCTTGTTCCTGCGCCAGAGACTAACGCTAAGGGCTACCTGTCTGCACCTTAGTAGTTTCAGCTTCTGCTTTTTCCTGCGGCAGTACGCCAATTACTTTTCTCCGGCCTGCGTGCCGTGTTGCTAGTGGAAAAATCGTCATTTTTAACGAGCTATTTGTAACGGGCAAAGCTATGCTCGTTACATTAAATATATTCGTAATGGTCAACATAACAGTCCGTTACAAATATATAACATTTGTAACGGACATTATGTTATCCGTTACAAAAACTTAGTTATTTGTAACATGCAAGGTAGTGCCCGTTACAAATACTTATTTATTCGTAACCGTCACAATGGCTTGATATAAATATTTGAATATGGTCCGGCTGATGGGAGGAGCCCATTACTTATTATTAAGGTTTCACACTTCGTTCTCTCTCCTCAAGTCCTTAGCCATCATGCCCTCCTTTCTCCTTTCTCCTCTCTCTTATCTCCTCTCTCATTTTTCTCATTCTCTCCCTCTTCTTCGCACTTTCACTCAATATCTCTCTCTTCTGCTCACTCAATCAACTCCATTTTTGTTTCCTCTCTATGGATATACGAACAAGCATTATGAATACTAAAGAAAGAGAAAAGTTTGTGCCCTAAATGCTCCGACTGAAGATGCTTCGTCGGTGGTTCCGGGTCCTGTTGGTGAATTGCCCGTGATGATTTTATTGGTGGATGCTAGTTCTACATTAGCTGAGCCTGAAAAGGGGAGAAAGAGCATCATCAACTTCTTCTTTTGGATGAGTTTGGATTCGCTGAAACGGATGAAAATATGAAGGATGATAATTTCTCTCCTCTCACTTCCTTTTTTCTACTTGTCTTTTTGTTTTTGCTTATATTTTAGCTGAATTGCGCCTATTTTTATGATAATATCTTTTTTTCGTGTTCTCCTCAGCTTTTTGTGTATTTTTTTGTCTTATATTTTTGAAATTTATTATTTTTTGAGTGTGAAGGAGATTTTGGGGACTTTTGTTTCTGTTTGGATGTATAGTTGATGGTAAAGATCCTAAGGATTTGCAACAGGAGATTGGTGATGATGAGATTCCAGAGAATTAAGGGGTTTAATTTTTTTTCAAAAATTTGGGTAATTTTGATTTTTGATGGAATCCTTGATTTTGGTTTTTAATGAGGAAATTGTTATGATTAAGGTTTGATGGATGAATTTTGCAGAAAAATCATGTTATATTTTGATAATTTCGAGTATGGGTATGTTTTTCTTCGTCATTTCCTTTTTATAATTGCATATGTCATTATGGATTTTGTTAAGATCATTATTCGTTGCTTTATCTTTGATTAATCAACTGTGGATTTGGTTGATTTTGGTTAATTGCTCTGGAATGTTGTTTTTTGGTATGACTGAATTTGTTCAGCAGATTGGATTAAAGTTTCTCTTTTTCTATTTAATTATTTGTTTTTATGTGTGAAATAATCACATTTCATCATTATTTTTTTGGTCTGAAATCTAGGGGTTTTCATTGTGATCTTACTGTCCTAAGCTTTGTTGTTGGATTGATCCATTTCAAGAACACATTATTATATGGTGACTGTTATAAATTTAAACAAAATTTGTTTGATCTTGTATTTATATGGGTTGAGAATTTGAGATTGAATTTTCAGCCGAAGATATCAAGTAAGTAAAAATGGAAGAAGATGGTTCAAGGTCAATGCCATCTACTCAACAACAGGTTCTCTAAGCCCATTTTTTTTTTCATTTTTATTTTATCTTCAATAAGATCAAGTAAATGGGTTTGATTTTTTGAGTTTTAAAATGTTAAACTACACGTACACTAATTTTTTGAACAACAAGTATTAGTGTTTGATATTTTAAAGGAAAAATACATTTTAATAATCTCAATTATAGGCGATTTACCTACAATAATCCCAACTAACATTTATTTTCTAATAATCCTAACTATTAGGTGAATTTTTCTCTACCAGTCCCAAAAACCGGTTACATACTAAAAGGGTAAACTTTTTTTTTAAAAAGAGCGCTACATGTCAGCACATAATTGACTTAATATAAAAAAAGAAAAAAAATCAAATGTCATTACAGCAACGCAGTCACCCCCTTCAGCCTCCACCATTGCCGACCATTCACCTACCCCCTGTCGAACTACCACCAGCGCCACCCACCTGCATCGCCACTGCTGCCTGCCGCTACTGCTCCCCCTCCTCCTTCCTCCTCCAACCCCAAAAACCACTAGTCACCCCTAAAACACCAATCGACAGACCTCCTAAGCCCCAAAACAACCAGCTACCCCCCAAGACCATCAGTCACCCCTAAATCACTAATCGACAGGTCGACCTCATCTTCAACCTCCAGACCCAATCCACGCCTGTGACGACCTTTAAGGTGGTCGAATTTGAGGTTAGGCTCGCTAGAAATCGTAATATTTAAGGTTGTTTTGGGGGTCGGGGAGGGCTAGTTGGGCGATTTCAGGGGTTGAAGGTGGGTGGTAGAGGTCGGCTGACCAGTTTCGCTGGTTGGTCGGCCGATTGCCGGCGTGATTGAGGGTTGTGGTTAGGGTTCCGGTGAGGTTTGGGGGTGGGGGAGAGGGTGGCTGGGATTTTGGATTTTTTATGGTTTTTATTATTTTTTTTAAAAAATTGACCAATCACATGTTGACACGTGTCATGAAACCTGTTATAACAGGTCATTGACTTTGTGTTGACCGGTTGGGATTGCTGGAGGAAAACTCAGGGCATAGTTAGGATTATTATAAAATAAACGTTAGTTGGGATTAGTGTAGGTAAATCGTCCATAGTTGGGATTATTAAAGTGTATTTTTCCTATTTTAAATGACAAATCTTTCTAACACCTTTAATAATCAAGGTACACTCATTTTTGCATTAATGTTTACTACTATATTGGACTTCAAGCGAATTATTGGAAGCAGTATAATGAAAACCTTTTAAAGAAGTTTACAAGGGTCCTAATATATGTCTTTTGAAGATGCTTATTAATATTATATTTCTCTAAAAATGCAGAGTAAATTTGCTACATGTTTCTATTATTCTATACTAGTCTATATTTATCTATATTAAGTTATACTCCGTATAGTTTCTTAATCTATATAATGCGTCAACTGTCATTATCAGGTTTTGATGGAGTGGAGATCCACCGAGCCCATGGCTACCTCATTGACCAATTCCTAAAAGATGGTTGTACAAAATTTAAGCTTCATCAACAAAGCATAATATTCTATAAGATCTTTCAAGTTCTTAGTCTACTATGGAATAGAAAACTTGTTTAAATTTTCATGTTGTATTACGGATTATTATATATGTAGTAGCTTTTGACTCATTTTAGGTAGTTGTTGTAAAGTCAATTCGGACATTTGTAAAAGTTGTATTAATTAAATTTTAGATTTATTATTATTGAATATGAGCAGTACCAGTCAATTCTCCAGATAAACAAATTTTTGTTTATCTAGGGGTATAATTGTCTTTTCAAGTACTAGTGGAACGGTATATGTGTCTTTTTATGTACTAGTTGAGAGGTACATGTGTCATTTCCTCACCAAACAGTAAAAGCAAAAAGCAAACAGTAATTGGATAGCTTACCAAAAGTACTGAATAAATGACCCTGCCTTTTCAATATATTTACAAAAATGCCATCAGATTAACAAAAATTCGTTTATCTGGTTAATTAACTTGTGTTTACCCATTGAATATTTATAATAGTAATTAAAATATGGCATCATAACAGATTATCAGGTTAGCAAGTATCACCTGCTGCATTTTTTTTTTTAATTTGGGTTCCATTGTATTTTTAACGGACGGTTTAAATGCTCGTTACAAATAACTCATTATTTGTAACGGGCAGTCAAACTGTCTGTTACAAATAACGGGTTATTCGTAACGGGCGGTTATTAATAACGGGCAGCTTGACCGCCCGTTATGAATAAACCGTTATTTGTAACGGACAGCGCCCGTTACAAATAACATATCCTATCCGTAATGGCAGCATAAGTAACGCCTGCTGCCCGTTACGAATAGGCCGTTTTTGCCCGTTACAGATAGCTATTTTTCCACTAGTGTGTATTTGAATATTTAAACAATTTTTATTTCTCCCGGATGGTCATCTGGTTAACACTATTTCTCTCGACCGTTTTGGTCCGTTTTTATTAAATTGTCCAATGAGTCGGTTTTGTTTAATTCGCCTTTTTGAATTTTTTGCATTTTCGATTTTAGCGTATGTATGTGAATTTGCCTAACTTATTAAAAGTATGCGGCAGCCGGCTGTACATGCCCCTAGGCGGCTGTGTGGTTGGTTTCAAAACTTGATTGATTGACTTGGGAACTTTTGATATTTTAAAGAGTATGAAATGTTCCTAAATCAATCAATCACAGTATTGATTGCCCCAAACCAAGTACACAACCGTCCAACAAACGAATCAGCTTGTTTTGTACCGTCTGGGGTACCTGCAATCCAATTGTACTCTATATCTGTTTGCCCCACTGAGAGGACTTGTACAGTTTTGAAAAATAAACTAAGTTAAAAATTTGGTCGATCACCAACTAATGTCTTTGGATATCCAATTTCCGTAGACTTGGTTGTTTTTTAGATTACCCAGGTTAGACAGATATAAGTTGACCAATTAGATCGTTCAATCTTTGTCGTCTGTATGCATTTGTAGAACAATGTGTCACTCAAATGGGAGATGCTCTCTGTAATGATTCCATCCGGATGGGCGTCACCGTACGCCCTACTTATATTGGAGCAGACAGATTTATAAATTCAAATATTATCCGGCCATTGGCCTCACGTCTTTGCCATACGTTTATTTAGCTACTAAGGTTTTGTACTTAGGTTTTTTATTCCTACTTAAGACTACGTCGTCTATACATTATACATGCGGTATTTCAAACATTCTGGATATATATATAAAGCAACAAATAAAGCATTCAGAAATAAAAAGCAGCTTTTTATTGATAGGCTTTTCATTTACAAAAATTTATAACTCAGAAGTAGTACTTTTTGAGGTTATGTACATTCCAAGTTCTAGGCAGCCGCCAACCGTCTAGGGTTTCCAGGCCATAGGTGTCGTTCCTAACTTCTTCATAAATCTGGTAGGGACCTTCCCAATTAGGAGTTAACTACTGCTCATTGGCCCTACCGGATGTCTCCATATTTCGTAACACAAAGTCACCCTCTTTCAGGGGCCGTTTGTGTACTTTTTTTGTTGTAGGCACGGGTTATTCTGAGACGGTAAATCTCATGACGCATGGCGGCATTGCCCCTGCGTTCAGAGATTGAGTCTAATGCTAGCCGCATGGCCTCTCAGTTTTCTTCTTCATCGTAGAACATGACTCGTAGAGTCGGCTCATAATGCTCGATGGGCAAGGTGGCTTCAGCACCCTAAACTATTAGAAATGGGGTTTCACCGGTTGCCCCTTTTTCAGTTATCTGGATGGCCCATAGGACGTGGCTTAATTCTTCTGCCCATAAGCCGTGACAGGGTAAAGTCGTATCCCCAAATCAAATGTAATACCTAAATCCTCTAACTAATGTAGATAGGGAAGTAGGGTCGAATCCAAAGTGAAACGAGTCTTTCTATTCCTAATTAATTAAAATAATCTAGATTATTAGGTAACTAATATGTGAATTTGAATGTGAAACTAAAGTACGAAGATTAAAAATAAGAAGAAAATAATATATAAAAGGATCTAGGGCATAGGTTCACCAATAAATAATATTCCAAGGTAGAATATAATAATCATTCATCAATGCATGTATTAATCAGATTATAAAGGGCTTTTGCTACGTATTATAATCACACAATTAATTTATCGGTATTAAATCTCATCTTTCGAATCTCGACCTAACCATTTATAAATTAACTTATGTAGACACCCATTTGTGTCTCCCCAAAACCAAACCCGGTGATGAGTGCCTTTCACGTCGAATCATAATCGAATGAAACGAAGTGTGGAAAGGTCTAGTGTTGCGGAAAGTTTTATTTCTTTTTCTCTTCTCCCTGTTTTTGAAAACTTTATTTTAAAGAAAACAGCCAATCCAGTTTGGTTGGTCCATGATATGGGTCCAATAGTGGTGTAATTGGATGGGGCTTGCAAAGACCTTTCCAACGATATATTATAAGCCCAATTCCGATGAATATTGAGGAAGTTATGGCCAATTTACTAAACTGGGCCCGGTTTGAGCTTTATGTACGGCCCAATGATCTAGGGGAGGGCCTAATATAATTTATCATTCCTAATGCAATTAGGAATGGTTTTAGTCTTCTAGATCATTCTAGAAGGTCTTTATCATTCCTGATTCAGTTAGCACTCTTCAGAGTTTTAATCAAGATCAAATAGCATTTTCGATGGAATTATATTATTTTATCTTCCAGTACAGGAAATTTATCAGATTTTCGAAAACGCGTGGAAAACCGCTTTGGCGTCCAACCCCAGGCCTTGGTGCCTGGAACCGGGCTTGGCGCCAGACGCTAGCCATTGGCGCCTGGCGCTAGACGCTAGCCATTGGCGCCAGGCGCTAGCCACTGGTGCTGGCGCCAACTAGCCAGGGCTGGCGCCAATGTGTTTCTGCGATCTTCAGACTCTGTTTTGTTAAATTATCTTTTTTGGATGATTTTCTCTATAAATATCGTATTAAAAACTCCGTTTTGATTCACCAATTCTCTTTATTCTTAAGTTTTAATCAACTCTCTTCATTCACCAATTATAAATATTCATTCATCAAATTAGCATTCATCTACAGTCAAATAATCCTTTTCACTCATCTCTTTTAATCAACTTTCATTAACATTCATTATTTCTTTTCTAAACTTTTCTTTTTAATACAAAATTCCGCATTCACAAGATCTTGATACACCTAGCCATATTCGAAGTTGCCTTCGCCCTAGACGTGAAAGGTTTTAATTTCTGAGGGTTTGGTCCTAAATCTCTCTTTCAATTATTTAATTTAATTGTTTTGATTATTATTTTCCTTGAAGTTACTAACGTGTGTATTTTGTTATTAGAAAGAGGTACAAGGCATCCAAGTAAGTACTTTAATGGTTTTATTGATATTATGATGTAGACATCATGCTTAGATTGTTATTTTTAATTCTTAGTATCATGTCTAGGGTAACTTTAATATTAAGTATGATTAAAAGTACGATGCTTCCTATATTCTTCCTAATATTTATTCATGTTAGGGCTAAAGATTTGATTTTTATTGCTTAGTGACATGCTAGGGTTTGTTATTAATCTTGTTAGTATCATGCCTAGGATCTCGCTATGCTTTAACATGATTATTATTTGTTATAATTTGATATTATTATTGTTAATGATGTTGATTATTTATTATGTTGCTTGATATGCATATTATTTTATTGTTATTGCTTGATCGCCTTTTATTGAATGTTTAAAGGGAATTTGCTTGCAATCACGCTTAATAAGATATTTAATAATCTTGCTAGATTAATTGTGATTATAATTCAAGTGATCGCCAATAATAGTTTATTTGTGCATTAAATTCAACCAACATAGATTAAACAGGTTTAGGGTTAACCTATTGATTGTATGTTAATCGGAAAGCGCACATGAATACGAGCAGAATAAAGTAGAGGCCTATTATTAGGGCAGGTTTAATCTCTTTTAGGTTGGATTTGTACCATCATCCCCGAACCCTTATTTGGTTCATGACCTTATGGAGTTGACGATCTCTTGGATCGTTAAGGGGTGTAACCCTCACCTCGTGAACGGTTTACAAGTTCCTTAAAAACTTGTTGGCGACTCTTTTGCTCTATCTTATTCCCTTTTGGACACCACCGTACTTTAGTGTATGATCACAGTGGGGTTCAAGGTAGTGGGATTTTTAAAGGCTTGAAATTATTCCCTACAGTTTTTGGCGACTTCACTGGGGAGGATTTCTATTTTAATTCCTGAATTTGTTTCGGCAATGATTTAGAATGAGTGGATGAGACTCGAAAAGTTCTAAGTATTTCATGTGCGTAATTTTGATTAACATTATTGTCATATGCATAAAAAGATTCTCCTTGGAAAGACCATCCGTAATGAGTCAAAAACATAGGATTTTACACGTAGGAAATTTGAGAAATGTCTTTCACAACTAGGACTGAAATAACACCGCGCGAAACTGGATGATTTTATTGAGCACAGAAAGCTGCTGAGGCATGTGGGAAGTAGCGTCAGGGGCCAGAGCTTGGCGCCAAACTTTTAGTCGTAGCGCCAGACGCCAGTATTGGCGCCAGGCACCTCAGTTAAAAGTTGGCGCCAGTCTCCGTTTGCTGGCGCCAATTTCCCCCAATATCGAGCCAGGAATATGCGTTCTAATTTCGACTGGTTTTTCGTATTGTTTGCTCGATCCTACTTCCTGATTGAATTTTTTCTCACTTTTCTGAAACCCATA